GGCTTAGGGATTAAGACACCGCCACCGCGGACCACAATGTCCCCAGTTTGAATCCAGCCCTGGAACTTTGTTGAATCCATCTCTGCCTTATTTCCTTTCACCTTTTCACTATCACTATCTAATGGCATAAGGCATAACAGAAGAAAAATGTATCTCACTGGAATACTTAGCATTAAAATCCTGAATGCAAATATTCTTGTCAGTTTAGTTTGACTACGAGAGCAAGACAAACACAGTTGACCCGATAATTTATTTTAATGGATAGAAACACACATGACAGAAGAGTTTCCACTAAAAGGTTTTGAGTTCAGTCTCTGGCAGCAGGATTCAGACAAATAAAAAAACATTTGGATGAAAGGAAACTGGGAGTTACGGTCTGTGAACAACACCATCAAAAGTCCTTTGAAGGAGTGGCCTGGTTTTGACTTTCTGTTGGTTATGAAGACCAACAGAAAAGAGAAGACCCAGGGGTGCGGCAGGTTACAGGAGAGGGGAGAGGGTGCGGTTACTAATGTCCTTTGATGAAGTTCAAGGCACTAGCACAATTCTCATAGTGTTGGTGTAACCGGACCCGGGGCGCCAGCCAGTCACAACAATGACTACATCACCAGGCTTGAAGAATTTGCGGTGCTTGCCTACGCATAGAGAAAAGGAAAAAAAGGAATTCTATTAATTAAATATAAAACCATGTGACTCCTGGTGATGCAAAATTCTTCCACAACACTTTCTTAACAATTTTACATTATGGGTAATTGAGAATAATTAAAAACACTCACCAAGTTCAAGGGCAAAGTTCACGCGCAGGTCAACATCCTCTGCCCAGACGTCATTTGCAGGTTTGGTGTAGAGCACAGGGTAGATACCGCGGTACAGGTGGGCCTGGCGGGCGGCCTGGCCACAGCGAGTCACAGCAATGATGGGGGCACGGGGCCTGTACCTTGCCAGCATGTGAGCAGACCTGCAAGTAACATGTACAAATTATTAGCATGTAGAACTCAAAATCTTTCAATTTCAACCCTAGTTCAAAAAATTTGTGCCAAAATGTAAAGCTTCTTTGGCCACTTGAGGTGTGTGGAAACAAGTTGTAAAACATAACATTGACATCACCTTTTAAGCTGATATGGCGAACCTGTTAGCTAACATCCAGCAGCAACATTAGCATTCATTTCCTATCCACCTGGTGAATGTAAGAAAAATCTGGCTTTTACTACTAAATGCACTAATATGTTCACCAGCTTGTTAGTAATTTTGTGTGTCTGGTTCTGGGAAGGTAGTGCACAGTGTTTTTTTAGAGCTTTTTCACCACTGAAAAGATGCTATTGAACCAACAGAAAATTGGAATGGACAGCTAAACAACATGCTGAAAGATGCAATAAAGCTCCATAGAGTTGAGGGGGATAATTCTCTGCGCGACTCCTTTCACATAGTAGTCAACTCATCCATTTTAAAATAGAAATATTATATAGCTGCTTTATATGCCATTATTATTAGGAAATCCATCCAGCTGACAGTAGTATGTCTTCTGTGTCATGTGATGTAAGGAAGAGCTCCCAAATGGAGAGGAATGAACATGGAGTTAAAATTAACTTGTGAAATGTCAGGGTTCAGATATCTAAAGGTCACAAGTGGAGGACAGATTGTGAGTGCCATGAAAGCTGGCACACTTTATATGAGCTGAGGGATTGTGTTGCTTGTGTGGCTAGAGAGATATTATAATGCACCAGTTTCTTTGCTTACAGTGGGTGCCGTGGAGTATATTATGAGTCAGAGCTTCACAGAGGAGATTTAAAGGATGGACTTCTTCTAGGAGTCTCACCTGCCAGTCCTGGTGAGCACAATGATGGCGCTTGCGCAGCACTTGAAGGAAGCCTCAACGGTACCGATAGCAACGGTCTCTGTGGGGTCACGGGTCAAATGAGAGGTGCGACGCAGCTCCTCGAACATCTGCCTGTGGAACATGGCTGCTTCGGCTTCACGGGCAATCTGAACATGTGAAAATATTTGGAAAAAGCAGATTACAGTAGTGTTGGGCTGCAGTCACACAGGCAGTTTTAACTGCAGGAGTTAGTTTGCATTTTGCAGGACAAAACAAAGGTGCAGTTAACCTCAGTGCATTGGTATTCATACCTGAAAGCGCACTGAGACATGAAGCTAAACAACAGCGTAGGCCATGATGTCCAGGGAATATTGCTGTGCACTGCAGATCTTCGGACACATACTAATTGAGTAATATGATCACACAGTTAAAGCACAATACAAGAAGACAAGTATCCAACGAAGGTTAAAATCAAGGGCAACTGGACTTGGTTGAAGATACTGGAAGACGTTTCGTCCCTCATCCAAAGGACTTCTTCAGTTCTGAAGAACTGAAGAAGTCCTTTGGATGAAACGTCGTTGGATAACTATGACCTGGATGACTGAGAATCTTCATAGACAAGAAGACAAGTAGGAAATTGAAGAGTTCGGTAGCAGATGGAGGGAGGGAGGGGTGGTGAAACAGGTATATACAAAGCTAGTTGAACAAATACTAAACAAGCTGTTAAAAAAACACAATCTGATACCAAGGATGTGCTCACAATGTAAAAGCTACTTTTCTCTTCATTCTACATGATTTAGAAAATGTAATGCAATACTATGCAAAAACTTTTTTTTTTCATTGGACGGTTTATATTTACTGCCCCGAGTAGTACATTTTTAAGTTAATTTTGTTAATGCGATAATCACTAAGCTGGGAATGCACCATTATGGAACTTGTGGTCAGATGATGGTAATAAATGATCAAGCAGTTTGGATCGCAGGACATACCAAAATCCACAGCTCTTGTAAAAGAAGCTAAGAAATAGATTATTCTTGATCTTTTGTGGTCAATACATGACCAAATTCCTCTTCAGACATATTTCTTTTCTCTTTTAGGTGCAACAAGCAGCATTAGGTCAATACAAAACCGTGAGCCTATGTATATAAAGCCCAGACACAGAAAAGCAAAGCCACTCAATTCACCAGCACCATTGTTTTGGTTGATCATGTGAATTTGGCAGCATTTGTCATTAAAAACCACTGGCACAACTTTCACGTCAAATAAAAACACTGCTATGGTGTTTTAACATTGCTATGAAAGATTACTATGTTGTGTACACATGCACTGAACATAATAAAAAGGAATGGGACAAGTCAGGGGTGCTCTTACCCTGTGCTGTGTGCGCACGGCCTCCAGGGGATAGTCTCCCTTGGCAGTCTCCCACTCAGCATGATGCAGTCATTGCCATCCAGCACGGCGTTGGCAACATCACTGGCCTCAGCGCGAGTAGGGCGAGGTTTCTTGGTCATGCTCTCCAGCATCTGAGGAGAAACAACAAGACTCTCTGATACACTCCTCTTTTTCAGATGTTTTCCACAAAACAGTCCTCCTTATGACGTCACAGACCTGGGTGGCACAGGTGATGGGCTTGCCGACCCTGTTGCACCTGCCAGTCATCATCTTCTGGGCGATGAAGACCTTCTCTGTTGGGATTTCAATGCCCAGGTCTCCACGGGCAACCATGATGCCGTCACTAGCCTCCAGGATCTCATCAAATCTGTCAGACAAGAAGAATCAGATTAACAATTCTCCAAAAGTTCAGATCCGTCTAGATTCAAGAGTGATTGCTGGGAATCCACCCACCTGCGCACACCCTCGTGGTTCTCCAGCTTGCTGATGATCTTGATGTCCTTGCCTTTCTCACCCAGCACTTTCCTGACAGCCTGAACGTCAGCAGCCTTACGGATGAAGGAGGCAAAGACCATGTCAACACCCTGCTCCACGCCAAATTGCAGGTCCTGAATGTCCTTCTCAGACACAGCGGGCAGATCGACAGCAGCTCCAGGCAGGTTGACACCCTTCTTGCTGCCCAGCATACCACCATTCTCAATCTCACACATCAGGTAGTTGTTGCCTTAGGACACACAGAATAAAGAGAATCTTCATTACCACCTGTAAACAGAAAGGTGAAAGCAACATCTGCAAGAAAGACACACAACATGAGCTGAACAGATGACTGTTTGTGCACTTACCAACTTCTTTGACCAAAAGGGAAATCAGACCATCGTCAATGTAGACGTGGCTTCCGGTCTTCACAACATTGGTGATGTTCTTGTAGTCGAGCCACAGAACTTT